ATGAGTGTCTGCGTTCTGCACGCGGATCCCCCCCCACGCCGCCGCCCCCCAGTATCGCAGGGACGCTGTGCAGAGGGAGAGGGAGAGGGGGGGGGACCGGGACCGGGACCCGTTCATGGGACTTCGGGTTCGCGTTTCTCGCTGCCTCCCCGAAGGGCGCGGAGAGGCGCTGGCGTGGCTCCATTCGGAAATGGAACTAAAGCGGACCTGGCACTTCGCTTCCATCCACAAGCTCTCTCTCTGGTCTGTAGTCAGCGTCTTCAGCGACACCTCTTTCGGCTTTCTGGGCTCCCAGAAAGGTGCCGGGGCTTTTCTCATTTTTGCTATCTTCTAAAACTTGGGACAGTTTCTCTATAGGAGTGAAATGCTCCAGTAATTATTGTGGCTCCGACTGTTCAGATGAGACTGTACTTAGCTAGAAGAACAAGGTATCTTGTGTGTCTCATCAAACGCAGTGCGTTCATGCAGGGGTACAGGACCATACATCATCATCCCTGGCCCTGGATGTGACCCAGAGTCTGCATGGAAATGTGTTCCATACCCATCAGTTGACAGGCCACATGGCAGCAGACTTGTTTCTTTTGCTGAGATAACATGTTCAGCATTTGTAAGCTCATTATTATTTATGCACTTGGTCTATGCAGTACTTTAGAACAGATTATGTATTCCTTAAAGCAGCAGATCAGTAGAGATGTGGACATGCCAATGCTTGGTTTCACTAGGTTAAAGAAAAGTGATAGTGGCTTAAATTGTGTACTTGTGATCATTTCTTACATAGAAGTGGAAGCTTTTTGCTAGTGCTTTGCTATAGGGCTAGGAAAGAAAGAATTTAAAGCAGAATATCTTTTCTACCAGAATAGGTTCTGTTCATAGGTGTTTTCATGAGGAGAGGAGACTGCAAGACTGTCTGATGTTCAGTAGAAATGTGATCACTATTGTACATGATAACCACACATGAAGGGCTGTCATGGAAGATGGAGCAAGCTTGTATTTTAGGAGCTCCAGACAGTAGGATCCAAAACAACGAAGTTGCAAGAAGGGAGATTTTGACTGAACGGAGAAACTTTACAGTAAGAATTGTTTGACAATGGGGGTGCCTGCCTTGTTGACAGATTTTTCTTCATTGGAGGTTTTTAAACAGACATTGGATGGACATCAGGATGATTGTCGGGTGCTTCATGAGGAGGGTGGACCTAACCCTTAGGCTTCCCTCCAGCTGTACAATTCTGTGGTTAACAGAGAAAAATCTTAATCAGTGAATACTGTATAAAATACATACCCAGACTGTTTAGGGGTAGACTTGTAGATGGAAATCAAACTCGTGGATGGGAAGCCTGTGATCAGTCACATTAGCTTCTAGTTCCCAGCACCCTGGAAGACTGTTCATTTATCACTGTAAATGGGTATCTAATAGAGATATTGCTGTAATATTTCTGCAAAAAGACACCTCTTCTTGACAAGTTTAAGGATGTATTTAAGCAGATCATGCAACCATATTCTCATATTAACAGTTGTATTTATTAACTCTGCTTTCTTTTTGCAGCCTAATTACAGTACTAATTTCTGACATACTGTCATATGGGAGATAAGATCTTAAGTTGCATTAAAATCTTCCAGGGAATTGGGGGCCCCCCGTGGCTGGCAGCTTGGGTGACTCTCTCGTTCGGGGGAGTGGCCCTGGCTGCGAAGAGTGGGGTCCGCAGTCTGGGGGTACATCTGGCCCCGACGCTCACCATGGACATGCAGGTGGCGTCGGTTGTCCGTACCGCCTTTTTTCACCTCTGGCGGATAGCCCGGTTGCGGCCCTACCTTGACACGGGGGTGCTCACTACCTTGGTACATGCGCTTGTAATCTCAAGATTAGACCACTGTAATGCTCTCTACGTTGGGCTTCTTTTGAGGCTGATGCGGAAACTTCAGATGGTGCAGAATGCAGCAGCCAGACTCCTTACTGGAGCAAGAAAATCCCAACATATTTCTCCTACTCTGGCCATGCTGCACTGGCTGCCCATCCGTTTCCACATTGACTTCAAAGTGCTTACCTATAAGGCCCTAAATGGTTTAGGACCTCGATACCTGACGGAACGCCTGCTCCCACCAAGATCTACCCGGATCACCCACGCAAGTCAGGAGGTGAGGTTGAGGAGCCTGACGCCGAGGGAGGCCCAGAGGGAAAAGACACGAAACCGGGCCTTCTCGGCGGTGGCTCCTTGCCTCTGGAATAACCTCCCACTGGAGATTCCCGGGCCCCTACGCTGGGTACCTTTAAAAGTCAACTGAAAACATGGATGTACATCCAGGCCTTCCCTCCTATCAGCACTTGATTTCCTTTCTTTTCTGCTATCTATTTTATATTTTATATTTTTGGCACTGTATCTGTTATGGATTATATTATGTTGACTTAATGTATATATTTTATATTGGAAGCTGCCCAGAGTGGTAGAGTCTACCAGATGGGCAGGTTATAAAACAAACAAACAAACAAATAAATAAATAAATAAATAAATAAATAAATAAAGTACTAATAGAGAATTCATGGATCCTTATAGGTTTCAGTGATAGATTTAGGGTTTCTGGAAGTGTGTGCACATCTGATTGAGCTAGCTTCCTATTTGGGTTAAATGCTAGCTTCCCTTTTGGAAGCAAAATCTGTTTGCAGTTCCAAATAGATATTGCTGTATGTGATGTCCGGTATGGTTTAGTGGACTTGGACTCAGAAAGCCTGGGTTCGAATTCCTGCTCAGCCATGGAAGCTCACTGGTAAGGTCAATCCTTAAATATCTTATTCACCTTGAAAGCCCTATTGTGTTCACTATAAGTCAGTTCTGACTTGACAGCACATAACAACGATGTGTGTCAGTGATTCCCAACCTGGGGTACACTAGGAAATTTAGGGGTACATGAAAATAATTGAATAATGGTGGGAAAAGGCCGAGATACACTCTCAGAGTTTCGGTGGATCAGAATACTCCCAGCAAGTGTTAAGCACTTCCAACTATTGACTGAGTGACTGTGGAGAGTGAACTTTGGGGCCCTACCCACTTCTTTGGATTCCCGGATGTAGCCGGTGTGTGTGTGGAGAGGAAGTGGTGTCTTGCTTGGACTGGAGAGTGGAAGAAATTATGGAGATATGAAAAGATTAGAGTGGGAAACCTGTTATTTGGAAGGAGAACCTCCTGGCCTATTTTTCTGCAGTCTCCCAACTTCTATAAAATCTGTGCTTCAAAAATAGCTAACATCCTATAGTTATTTATTTGAACTGTGTTTTATCTTGATTTACAGTTTCCTTCAACAAAGGACATTTCCAAATTATACTGAGCTATACAGTAATTAATTGTCATCGAAGCTACCAACATGAATTTGACCAAACTCTAGGAGGCAGTGGAAGACAGGAGGGCCTGGAGTGCTCTGGTCCATGGGGTCACGAAGAGTCAGACATGACTTAATGACTAAACAACAACAAATGTGTTAATTCATAAATACATGAGCTCTGAGAATTTTGTTCCTTTGTTTATCTTGTTTCCAATACTTCCTGCCTTTTTAAATACCCTTCCCCCCCCCCCCCCCCCCCTCCCCCAAGACGGTAACTTATCGAAAAGAAACCGCAGGGCTGAGGGGCGAGCCGGACTCATCCATACAATTTATGGACATAGCCTGCCAAATGGAACACAAGTGAAAGAAAAGGTTGGGAACCACTGATGTATGTGTGCCACTTTTTTTAAATACAAACAACAACAAAGCCATTGTTTCAGCAGCTTTGTCTTGTTGTACTCCCAGCAAAATGAAGATAGGCAGAGCAATCCTATATGAGACTTTGAGGTCGAGCAGAGAGGTTTCCCATGTCTTCCAAGTCCAGGGCAGGATCTAATGGACCTATTCATTCACCACCCCTTCTTCCTTCATCAGCAAATCAAGTCAGTTTGGGGAATGGAGCAGCCTAGGATCTGTTGGATCTTGCAGTTGTTGGAACCATCAGTTGTACCCTTTTGCCTATCTGGCCACAGGGGCTTCTGTCATATTGGACCCTCCCTCTGTTGGCATAAAGCATGTAGCACACAGTCCTTAGCTTGGGAGGCAGTAGGATTACCTTGTAAATAACAGAAAAGTAATATGTTAATGATAGCTGATTTTTAGTAGCTCACCCCCTCCAGGTTTGCTCTTATTTTGACCCAGGTAGAGTTGCACTGATCATAGCATATTATTGCAAAATGTTTCCGTTTTGAATATGAATTTTAAAAAATAGTTGGATACCAAATAGCTCTCCAGATGTTATGATATCGCAAACCCTGCAATTCCTTGCCTTTGGCTCTGTTGCCTTCAGCTGATAGAAGCTACACTCCAGCAACATCTGGTATGTCCCCCATCCACTGATATTTTCAGTATTATGTTCCCCACCCACTGATATTTTGAGTATTAGCGCCTTGTAGCCGGTAGGAAAAACCTCAGTGCATTTCCAGTAACATTGTATGAAACCCTAGCAGATGAGGGCTTATTAGATTACTTTAGATCTTTTTGTGTGTTCTTGCTATTAATGCATTTGAAAGAACCTAAATTTTGGTTATTGGTTACAATAGTTGCATTGTGTTGTTCAGCATAGGAAAAGTGTTGGAAATGGCTCAAAATCAAGTCAGGACTAAAAAATTATTTTTCATTTCTCATAAGAGAGTCACCATGTTTAGGCACCTGGAGCATGTTAGTATGTATTTCTGCAGAAGGTCCTTGCTTCATTTGATGAAGGTGAAACCAAATCTTTTGGAATATTTCATTGTGAAATGGTGTGGTAAAACATAGCAGAACATGGGAGCATTGAAAATGAACTTAAATTGTCCAAGGTAAATCCCAAGGGAAGCAGGAATGAAAAAATGAAGGGTACGTTTTTAGTTGGGGTGAAATGTATAATGCTATGATTTGGTAAATCACTTTAATAAAATGTCTCTGTATAGCATCTTTAGGTTATCCTTTTTTATAAACAAGAAATATTGACTTAATATTTTCTCAGATATTGGTGTTAATAAATGGTGTGTGCCTGCTTGGTGTTCAAGATAACATTCTTTGAGATGACACAATGATATAGCATTGAAAAGCATGTTAAGCTTGCATCTGAATGACCCTCTGGTAAGGATAATGCTCTGCTAAGCCTATAGACACATGTAACTCAAGCTTCTGATGTGGCATGTGAAGTCAATAGGACCGACTACCCAGCTTATCAGCTGATTAGAGAAAGAAATATTGTTCTGCCTGTGCTGGTAGCAGTACTAGGACACATTCTGCAGTAGATCTGGAGAAACTTCAGTCATACTTTGGAGATTGCACCATCTGTGCTGCTGGTGATGGGAAGTTGGTCTTCAAGGAAATAAATGAAATAGTTAAGTTAAATATAGAGGTTTGCCCTAAGCTAGCTCTCTATCAATATTTGATGAGGAGCAATGGAGTTGGGCATCAAAAGAATTCCAAATGAATTAACGGTAGCAAGATTAATGGTAGCAAGGAATTGGAAAGTTAAGTATGATTTTCTCTTAGATGCATTGTATAAGGAATATAAAATATATTCGCGAAGGCTTTCACGGCTGGGATCTAATGGATGTTTTGGGTTTTTCGGGCTCTTTGGCTGTGTTCCGAAGGTTGTTCTTCCTAACGTTTCGCCAGTCTCTGTGGCCGGCATCTTCAGAGGACAGCACTCTGTGCTCTGGTGTAGGCTTTCCAGAGGACTCCCAAAGCCAACTCCCATCTTCAGAGGACAGCACTCTGTGCTCTGGTGTAGTTGGCTTTGGGACTCCCAAAGCCAACTACACCAGAGCACAGAGTGCTGTCCTCTGAAGATGGGAGTTGGCTTTGGGACAATATAAAATATATTTGGAATATAGCTATTAATGATAAGTTAACATGCAATATCAACTAAAGAAGACTGAGAAAAATAAGAATATTTTTATTGATACTTGGGGAGATTTTATCAACTTTTTGTTAATAAAGGGAAAGAGTTGTGCACCTTCACAAGAATCAGTGTAGTTTTGGAAGGGGAAGGGAACTCTGTAAATGGAGGAAAAATTGGTTGTACAGTATCTCCATATGG